GCCCTTGGTGTTTACATCATAACACATAACAATATAAAACTGAAAAATAAATGACAACTAGAATAACAGAATAATAAATTGACCATCAGCTATGACTAGATACATTCTACCCTACGGACAGAGTGGGACCACAGCTGTGGGGCCCACATCAATGTTCTCTACAGTAATATCCAAGCAAAATAGTACATGTAAAATCTATTTTTCTTCTTGCCATCAAGCTGTGATTAATTAGATTATGTCAGTGAAATAGTTCATTAGCGGTGTTGCATTTTTACTTTTGTTAGATGTTCTACAGTTGTGCAATAAATGGTTGAGGAATTCATTTCAAATGGTTCTAATTAAAATAGTATTTGGGTTTGGATAATAATGATTCTATTTAATTACTCAAAATGACTAAAGAGCAATGGATTTTCTTCTGAAAGGGTAGTGTACAAATTTTGTAGATGTAAAGAAAATTTGTATACGTGGTTCTATTTTCTAAATAAACTGGTATTTGGATATAGAGACTATAGCATTTAACAGAATATTTTCATTTCCTCTTTGTCAACTTGAAAGTATATTTTGATCATCGGAGACAAACTATAATTCTTGCATATGGTAAAACTCTTAAGTTCATAGGTTGTGTTTTACTTGCAGATGCTTAAGTTGAATGAGCAAGAATTTCTTGGGGAAGCTAGTTGTGTTCTATCAGAGGTAAGTAGCCAGGATTTTCATGGACCTACCTGATATTCATTAGTAATTCCTGCAAACAGCTCATGGTTTGGAACTTGTCATTGTGATTATACTATCTTGATGAGATGTATAGAACTACTTGAATGACAACTTGATATTGCTTATAGCAGACTATCAGGAGGCATTAGCTCCTGATAGTGATACTATCAAGAGGCAGTCATTGATAGCATCACTATCGAGGTAGTACAATGGGTAAAAATAATTGAAGAATTTAAGGAGTTAATGGCAGATCATTGTTAGGTGATGGGGTATAATAGCAGCATCTTCATTGGGAGAGTTTTAGAGATGGTGATGGAAGAATTTTGGCTCTATACTTGGGGCCAATAGGAGAAGGTGATTCTTTGAGGGCAGAAATTTTAGCATTCTTGCACAGATTGAGACTAACAAGCAATTGGATTCAAGTACCTTGAGGTAGAAGGGGATTCTAAATTGGTTATTGGCTGTTTGCAAATGAACAGTTTGGGGATTTGGTGTCACAGACAAGCTATGAGGGAGGTAAAATTGTTAGAAAGGGAGATTGGGGCCAGTTTCAAATGGGTTAGAAGATCAGCAAATGGTTTGGCTGACACCTTGGCCAAACAAGGGGTGAACAGGTAGCAATTGTTTTGAGCGGAATTGTAAAGGCCAACAACCCTTTCTTGGGTTATGTGGCTTTTATAATCACCTTATTTATAATCTAACATAAGTTATGGTTTCCATTCAAAAAAAATATTATTACTTTTTTAACAAAGTTATAAGACATTGTAGTTGAAGGGGGGCTTAAGAGTACTTGGATGGCTCAAAAACAGTCCTGGCATGTGACAACATAGACTCATATTAAGGGAAGTAAGAAATCTAGTGAGGAACCTAAGGCAGTCTTTTAAAAGTGCAAGGGCTTTATAGTGTTGGAGGCACCAGGTGAGATGTAAGGCTTTTCAAAGCAAGGCGCAATTTTTTGAAACAAAAACTAAAAAAGTAATAGATAAAAATGCAATTAAAAGAAATTAAATGTTTTATAAACCTATTGACCCAAATTAACATACATATCTTGATATATAAAACAATTTCAAAGTAAAAATGTGAAGAAGGTGATAGAATAGTGGAGGGAAGGTTATGTGGAAAGCTACGAAGGCAGCTATTTGTTGGGTGATTTGGGAAGAAAGGAATAACAGAATATTCTTGGAGAAGAGTAGAACAGTGGAGGAGGTGATAGACATCATAAAAGTTAAAGTAGCTCATTGGGTAAAATCTTTGCATATCTTCCAAGACTTCTCAGTCACAAACATTCTAAGATCTTGGACAAAAGTAGCACAATCCTCGAGTGAGAGAGAAAGTAAGGATGGAATGGAATGGAAACCTCCAGAAAGCAACATGATTAAACTAAATTTTGATGGAAGCTCTCTTGGAAATCCAGGACTCTCAGGTATCGGAGTAATCAGAAATTCTAAAAATAGCTTTGTTCTCTGGACCGATTGGCATTGGCAACTCTCTAAAAGTTGAGTTAATGGCATTGTTACAAGGGCTGAAGATCGCTAAGCAGCTAGGACTGAGGCATATTGAGGTTGAAGGGGATTCCAAGGTGATCATCTCTTGGGCTAAAAACAATAGAAGTACTCCGTGGACTTTCAAACAAGTGACAAGGGAAGTGGAAAGGTTGCAAAGGAGGTAGAGGCCGAATTCAAATGGGTTAGAAGGAGTGCAAATGGGATAGCTGATTATCTTGCCAAACATGGGGCTTCGAGGCAACAATTGTTTTGGGCTGCAATGTAAAGTAAATATGTACTAGTGTGGGAGCATTAATCCCATACACAAGCTGTAAAATTTTAATATAACCCTAAATTTAAATAAAGTTCTCTTGTGCTGATCAAAGAAAAAAAATGTGAAGCGTTACTGGTCAAAAAAAGAAAGTGAAAGCAAACATATGTGGATCATACCAAAGTGTTTCCACTACTCAACAATTCAAGCATGTGAAACTTTTAATCTGTTTATTTATCGCATAGTTGCATTACTTCAAGTGGTTAATGTGATGTTAAACATTTTGCATTCCTAATCCTAGGAGATCATCCCTTTATCCCTCAAAAATCTCCATGAGGCAAGTCTAAACCAGTGTTTTAAAAGGCGTGGGAGGCGTACGCCTGGAGCGCCTCCAGGCGAGGCACTCCCAACATGCCCTGAGGTGTATGCCAGAGGTGTTGACACCTTAGAGGCGTACGCCTCAAGTGCAAGAGGTGTACGCCTCTTGCACTTTTTCATGAGGCGTGCTAGAGGCGTACACCTCATGCGCATCTTATATAAAAGGACAGAAAAAAAAAGAAAAAAGAAAAAAAGGAAAGGAAAGGAAAAGAAAGGGAAGGGAAGGGGAAGAAAAAGAAAGAGAAGAAAAAAAGGCAAGACCTCCCCTTTCAACTAATTTTATGCATCTTTATTCTTCTTAATATAAAAGATTTTTATTAAAAATAAAGAAAAAATGAGATCCCCCCTTACTCTTCATCCTCCTCCTACCCCCCTCCTCTTAAGGAGGCTTACGCCTCCTTGTGTTCAGGAGGCTTACGCCTCTTGCATTCTGAACTATGCCTCACACCTCTAGGTAGTGGAATGCCTTGCGTCACGCCTCCGCGTTTTAAAACATTGGTCTAAACAAGTTCATGCAAGGGTTTAGGGCAGTGCCCTTGACCTAAATCTTTGGCCTGTATGTATGAAAGTGTTGGCTTTTTTAGTCACAATTCATTCTATTTTAGGATTAGAGTTCAGATATTAGTTGTATTTTTGTTGCTTTTTTAGTGGAAATTTTGATATTTGGGTACCAATAAAAAAATAGTCGAGATCCTATTTGCAAGAACTAAGGCTTTGGGTATTGCTTTTGTTTATTTTGAAAGTCAATAGACCATTACTAATGTACAAATAACAATAAAAGGTAATTAAGAAGTTGATAAACCATTACAATAAGTGTGATACATATAGGAGTTCATGAAAATAGATACATTTAAATAGGCTGTGCAAGGTGCATACCTTAAAATGCACCCTGTCTGTCTGCATAGGCATGTCCTTTAAAAAACATGACCTAAGGGCACCAGGTATATGCATTTGGTGGTCTGCAAACAGCTTGGAAGATTCCTTGGTTAGGCAAAGAGTAAACAAAAACCAACTCTTTTTGGCCTTTTGGGGGTTACTAGTCCGGGGGACATGAGTAATTGATGTAGGACCAGCTCAGTTCTAGTCCTTAGAGAATGTTGAATGGTCTTATTGATCAGAGTTTAATGGCTGTTGATGGCTGTAATGGCTTCTTGAAGGAATAAGAGAGAAAATAGGGAGAGAAAGAAGAGAGAAAACACCTGGAATCACTCACAAGGTGCCTAGAATCACTCTAGGACATGGGAATCACTCACCATAGCTAGCATAAGCTAAAGAAAACTCAATAAACTTCATTTCTCTTTGTGTAAAACGTCAATACATATTTATAGACTCTAAACTCATAATAATCCTAGGATCAAACTGTTAAGCTCATAATGGTCCTAGGAGTCAAACTGTTAGACTCAGTAATCCTAGTAGAACTCAAACTAAGTTGTCATTATCCTATTTCAATTCAAAGAAGACTCAATAACTCTAATCCTACTTATGCAATGACTCTGAAATTTTAAACATAAACAAACTATAACTACACAAATTAAACTCTACCAATGGACCCACAGGAAATTGCAAAATGACAAAAATGCCCCTACTGTCCAAAAATACATAAAATTTCATAAAATTCCAATTTTGCCTCTTCAGCTCCTGCATCAGTAATTAATTGTATATGTGAGATCTGTTGGGTTAGGAATCTCTTGCCTGCCTAAAGTTTACTGAAGGGTGCTAGAGCTCGACACCTTATATACTGTCCCATTTTTCCATTCATTTTGAATAAAATTTAACAGTTAGTAATCAAATAAATTTAACAGTTAGACACCTTCTATACTTTATTCATTTTGAATAAAGTGATAAAAACATTGTGTTTCCGCTGGCTAGTGGCAAGTTTCACCCCACTTTGCTCCTTGTTTTTCTAAATAAGATCTAGTGCTGTGTTGGATTTGACACATCTTATATGGTCACTCCTTTGCAACATTGTTACCTATAGGTCCAGACACATACAACACTGTGTTTCTGTGCATTTATTTGATGAGATTTTTTTTTTCCGGTAAGTCATTTATATGATGAGAGATCATACTCATAGTAATATATTTTTTACTTTCCAAATGGCAGATAGTAACTAAACATACTAAGACCTTGACACTTAATCTTCAAAATAGAGATGGGCATGTGGATGTGAAAAGATTAGGGACCCTTACCATCCATGCAGAAGAAACAATTGCTTCGAGGCGAGCTGTGGAGATGATACTCCATTGTTCTTGTTTAGAGAACAAGGATCTATTTTCTAAGAGTGTATGTGTTTTGAAAGCATCTGTTTTTAGTTTTATTATTGTCACCACCGTTATTGTACACAGGTATTAATATTTTTTGGTTCTTGTTTTTCTTATTCTTCACATAGGATCCCTTTTTAAGGATATCTAGAATTGTTGAAAGTGGAGGCTCTGTTCCAATTTGCAAGACAGAAGTGGTGAATAATAACTTGAATCCAATTTGGAAGCCTATCTGCCTTACTATGCAGCAATTTGGAAGCAAGGCAAGCTTGTCGGTTTTTATATTCAAATAAATGCTGAAGAGGGTGCATTGCATGTTTGCAATTTCTAGTTGTACTGGGCAAAGTCAAACAACTCATAACTACCTTAATGAGGATCTAGGTTCTAACATCATGGGTTTCTATGTGGTGTTAGATCATAATGCAAGATTAACCCATGAATCTGTCTTGCTTTTTGAGTATGACACCATATGCAGGAAATCCATTTGCTGGACACTGTCATTTTTTTATTATTTTCATCCTCAATCTATGTCAGTTTTGTTGCAGATCCAAAATGTATACATTATATGTCATCATTATCATCCAAGCCCTATCTCGACTATATGGGGTCTGCTAATCCAATACAAACACATAATATGTATTTTCTATATATTCATGTTGTTGGAGCCTATTAATTATGATTTGTTTTCTTTTTTACTTGCTTTCTGACAAAGTTCCAACTTTTTCACAGGATAACCCACTGGTTATAGAATGCTTTGATTTCAATAGCAGTGGCAAGCATGAAATTATAGGGTAACTGATTGATGATTTGGTCTTATGTAGTTATGTTTTAATTTTTAATTTTCTACATCATTTTGGTCATGCATACTGATGTCAGATCTAACTTTGCATTGATTTCCTCCTTTGTCAGGAAACTTCAGAAATCAGTTGCAGACTTGGAAAGACTCCATAAAGAAAAACTTGGTGCAAATTTTCACTTACCATCTCCTGCCCGCCAGGGTCATGAGAAGGTTCCTATTTTCTTTTGATTGGAAAGAAGTCAAAAATTTTTAATCATATTTTAAATGATGTTATGTTATTACCTTCACCTGCATTTAACTTTTCTCTACAGATTCTAAAGGGTCAGCTTTTTGTGGATGCGTTTTCTGAGAGAACACTTTACAGTTTTCTGGATTACATATCTAGTGGATTTGAGCTTAACTTCATGGTTGCTGTTGATTTCACTGGTATATAATTTTCATTGGTTCAGATTTCTTTTTCCCTGTTCAAGTTAGTGTTTCGGTGCTTTGGTTGCAGTTGAGTTTGTTTAGATGATGCTTTCTAGTTTTCCTCTTTTCCCAGCTTCAAATGGAAACCCTCGATTCCCAGAATCTTTGCACTATATTGATCCTTCAGGGCGACTGAATGCTTACCAGCAGGTGGAAGACTGTTTTTTGTTCTTTTGTATGCCTATTGATAACATGCTATACCTTTTAATCCTTCCTTTTTACTACAATTAGAACAATTTATTTTCTGAGACTTGTGTATCGTAAACTCATAATTATAGTACATAGGATATCATGGTACATATTGTAGGGATGTGAGTCCACCACTTGGGCCCAAATGGATCTCCATGGAAAAAACTTGACTTTATCTGATTATCATAACCATTTGACCTGTGCATTTGTCTGAGGGCAATTTACAATCACAGTCTGTAAAGTCATGTTGTGGAGGTATAATTATTTTTTTGCTGCAGGACCACAACCATGTATTGTTTGAACACGTAAACTACTGGTACTTTATAGACAACCTCTGACCTTTAGATCCTGGCTTTTAATTTAGGCTTACAATGAAGTTCTTATGTGGTTTTTCCATAAAAAAGTTCTTATTTGGTTTTATTGATTTATTTCATAAAATAATATTGTATTCTATTGGATTCCATAATTTTCAATTGACTTATCTGCAGGCTATATTTGAGGTGGGTGAGGTCATCCAATTTTATGATACTGATAAGCACTTCCCTGCTTGGGGTTTTGGAGGAAGGACAACTGATGGTTCAATCTCTCACTGTTTCAACTTGAATGGGAATGTTGGAGAGTGTGAGGTGAGATTAATCATGCTTTTCTTCCTTGTGCCCATTTCATAACCAGATCTGCTTATTGCTGAGTTGTGAAAGTTGAGTGCAACTTCATTCACTGAAGCTCTACCTGATCCAATCCAAATTCTATATCACCTGTTTGCATAACGGCTTTTTGGAAATTGGTTTTGTCAGTGTAGCTGGGTGCTTAATTGATCAGAAAATTATAAAAGGATGTATAGAAAAAGAGCAGTACAAAATCAGGAAGAAAATAATGAAACTAGAACCAATTAGTGTCCATGTAGCTGCATTATCTGCCCTACCCCATGCAAGTTTCTTCTTTAGTGTGTGATTAACCAGTACAAAATCAGCTCACATTGTGTTTATCCATACCTCTGTGTAAGACTGTTTCTTCAGGACCATAATCTAAAAAATGATTTTAATAAGAACCCTAGACCTGGTATTGGCTATTAGCTTTATCATCTTTCCTATCTAAGAAAGAAAATGGCATTGTATGTTGCCTGAAATCTTCTTTGGCAGGACTCATTGGGTTGTTGTTTTATGTGATCTTTTTAAAATCTGAGTGTTGATTTATGAGGCAAATGCATTGAGGTATGAGGCTTAACCCTCATGAGATTTCATTATTTCAAGAATAAATGTGAACCAAAATGAGAAAAGTATAGAGCTATGCATATAAAAAAAGAATTGGTTTTTATCTAAAGATGTATAGATGAATTATTGATTGTATAAATAAGGATTTCAAATTAGTAAGAACCTAAAAGGGTGTTGAAAAACCCTAGATGTTTATACAAATTAAAAATGCATAAATAGAAATATTAGAATTGGTCTTTAACCTGTTCTTGTGATAAGAACCCTACTTCAATTGATATATGAAACACATTTTCTTGACATAATGTACTTTTTTTAGCTTCATGGGGCTAAGCCTTGACATAATGTACTTCGAGATGTGACACATGTGCATTTTATTTTTTGATGTGAGCCTTGAGGTTGAGCCCGAGGGCATTCTTGGGCCCAAGGCTATTCTCAAGGTGTAAGCCTCAGGTGCCCTTTAAAACTTTGGTTTTATTGTATAATATGCACATGGGAAGGAAGCTTCTTCCTATCCTTATCTAGATTCTCTTGACGAGGCTACCATAAGAGCACTTCAGGTGCCCTTTAAAACTTTGGTTTTATTGTATAATATGCACATGGGAAGGAAGCTTCTTCCTATCCTTATCTAGATTCTCTTGACGAGGCTACCATAAGAGCACTTTTTCCAATGTAGATATTATCTTTTTTCCAAATTATTTGGAATCATTTTTTGTGTTTAGCATTGGAACTCTGTTGTGCTATCTGATTTTCCATTACATGGTCTTATTTTTTTACCTATTTAAATTGAGATGTTTTAGTTGATGAAACAGAATCCCACTTTGGTTTTCATTTTTTTTTTAATTATGAATAGCTAGAAGTTTTGTTTTCTTTGTTTCTTCTGTTATTATCATTGTCTGTTACAACTTCTATCTTCTAGTTAGGCCGAGGATCTCATTGATCAAGGGTTGTTTAGTACATGATCTGTATCCGACATTTTCTTAGCTCTGGAATTGAAATGGTTCAATTTTTCTGTGTGGATCATTACACATTCATAAACTAATAAGAAACAAATAATGAGATGGGTAGGTTATCTTGTTGATGCAATTTTTTGGCTGGGCCTACTGGGGCATAGTTCGTGTATAAAACAGTCATCATTGTTTGCACACTATTCATAGATGGAGAAATGAGCTAATTAATCTTGATGATTTGCTGCTCTGAAGTCTTGATATATTTCATGTTGACTTGTTTGTTTTGAATGAATAATGCTAGTTGTTTGAATCTGGACAATTTTTTCATTAGTAGCACTTTTGTATTTCCTTACAGGTTGAAGGAGTTCATGGCATCATGGCTGCCTATGCAAATGCTCTACATAACGTTGCTCTTGCAGGACCAACTTTATTTGGCCAAGTGATCAACAAGGCTTCTCAAATGGCTAGTCAGTCTATCTCATATGGTCAAAGCAAATACTTTGTCTTGCTCATCATTACAGTAAGCACTGAAAGAAAAATATATGCTCGTCTTTTTCTTTATTCTTTTTAGGATAATATGGATGCTAAAGCAACCAGTTTCCCTTTCTAGGATGGAGTGCTGACTGATGCTCAAGAAACTAAAGATGCATTGGTGAAAGCTTCGGATTTACCATTGTCGGTACTTATAGTTGGAGTTGGAAATGCAGATTTTAAAGAAATGGAGGTACCTGCACTACCCTTACTGCACCTTCAGGTTCCAGATATTATCTGGTTTTGAAACGTTAGTAAATCATCCCACTGGAAATCACAAAATAAGCTCATTTATTGTCATGTAGATATAAATAATGGTTCACAAATAAGAACAGATAGAAAAATAGTGGATGATTAAATTTCATGGTTTAACAGATCCTTGATGCTGATAATGGACAAAGGTTAGAGAGTTCCACCGGACGGATTGCAGCACGTGACATTGTGCAGTTTGTTCCGATGCGTGAGGTGCACAGTGAGTAATTTGTTGCCTTAATTATCTTATTATCAAAATTTAAGATTTTCGTATCCACCAAAAAAGACCAGCAACTTTCAGTTTACAAATTTTTATAAGGCAATTATGACTTGAGCCTTGATCTGGTAGGCACACTCGATGAACAAAATCACACAATCAATATGCAAACCTGTCCTGCAAGTGTGCCTCCCAGCCCACCCATGCGATAAATTGAGCACATTGCAGGATAGGTGTTGCAAACTTTTTGTATGTATACTTGTGGGTACTAGATCTGGGCTCTTGTAACTTAATTTATTTTTTCATGCCAAGACTTTTTATAATAGAATGTTTGTAGGTTGGTGCATGTGAGAACCTCACTCCTGAAATTCTTGTTGATATTGAAGTATATCATTCTCATGACTAATACCTCAAAACATTAAAAAGGAACAGTTTGTCTAGGCAATAGGGTTTATTTGGACAGCTCGTAGTGTTTCTTGATTGTTTAAAAGATATAGATTGGTTTTTCGCTTTGGATATCTAATGGAGCCATATGGTATCAGATCTACTAGATGGAGCCATAGAGTAAGATGGACTTCATTGCTGGATTTGCATGTATGCAAGCATGAATTGAGCTGATATATTTAAAGTAATATGAATGTCCCTCTCACCACCTATTGCACTGTTACTTGTTAACAAACAATGACATTGACTATTGTGTATGCATTGGTGGACATCTAGATGGTCCCCCATCTGGTTTACTCGATCCTACCTGACAGTCTGAGGGATTAACGTAGGGTAGAAATCAACCTGTTTGGATGATCTTAATCACCCAACACATTGGCCTGCTTCTACAACCTTCTATAATTTGAACATTGTCGCTCATATAGCTTTGGACAAGAAATGTATGTTCCTGCTGCTGTGTGACACTTCCTATGTATTCCATGTATTGATGGTGCTACTGTTGTTTTCCTTTTCTATTTGTCCCTTTGAAGCATTCTTTCGTTATTTTCCCCCCTCATTCCCTTCTATTATCTTGGTCCACTTATTTGTTTTACTGATATTGCTTTGTGCTAATTGGTTGGCAGATGTAAATTAGGTTTGCTTTTCTCATAAATAATTGCTGCAATCTGAGAGTTCCTCTTTATGCTGGCTTTAGTTTTTTAGTTGATTTACGGTAGAACTGAGATTATCCTCTTACAAACAGGTGGACAGCTTTCTGTTGTTCAAGCTCTCTTGGAAGAATTGCCTAGTCAGTTTCTAACGTACATGCGGAGTAGGGAAATTAAACCACACTTTGCCAATGAGGTTCCAGTTTCTACTTGAGAACATCCATGTACAATCTCTGGATATCCTCAACCAGGATGCACAGTTTCTGCTCAACTTGGTGTACCAGAGGTACTGGGTTCTTTTTGAGTCATTGCATGGAACTTGCTTGAAAGATGGTGCTTTGTGGAGCTTAGCTAATGTCCAAAACTATGCCACTTATTTTTTGGCCATTGCTGAGCATTATGCTTACAACAATCTTGTACAGTAGAGTTGAAACTGATGGTTGAATGCCCATAGAGGAAAATTATTGTATAGAAATTTTCTTTTGGTTTTGGAAAATTCTGTTAAGATTGATGATCGACTCCCGTTCTCGTGTAAGAAAATACAGAAAATTAACCTTGTATTAGTGTGGTGATGTCGATTAGCACCAATGTTTTAAAAACCAACTTGGAACTCAAACCGGAATTTGAACCGCTTTGGCCACCGGTTTCTGGGTCAGTGGTTTGACCGTTTGGTCTGAACAGATGGCCTCTTGTAATTTAAAAAACAAAAAAAAAGACCAATGTCCAGGTCAAATGGGTCAAGGATTTGACCGCCTGGGTCAGTGGGGTTGCTGACCCAGTCAACAGTTTTTGGCGAAGGAGTGGTTCAGGGGTGAAATGGAAGTGCTTGCCCAGACGGTTTTTAGGCTGAACAGTCACTGTCTGGGTTAACGACTTTTCAAAAGCCATGATTAGAATAAGCTATATTAATATTAGAAGTGTGAAAGAGAGTGGAACTTTTGTTTGATTAAAATACCCTTATTCCTCAATTTTTGAATTTGGTTGCTCTCTAATTGTTAAGACAAAAATGTAATTTGAACAACCACTTTTCTCTTCATTCAAATCTATATCATTAAATTTTATATTTAAGGTATTAACTCACATTAATATTCATTGAATCTTATTTTTAATTAAAATACCCTAGTTTTTTAATTTAGTCCCTCTTTAATTGTAAAGTTACAAAATGTAATTTGAAGGACTGCATTTCTCTTCGTTCATCTCTCTCATTAAGGGTATTAACTCTCATTCTTTCATTGAATCATATATGAATCAACCATATACTTTGGGTTTAGTGTTACTTTGGTCTCTGAACTTTAGAATGCAACAATTCAGTACCCAAACTTTCAAAACATGACAATCCAATACCTGTTGCTAACCAGCCATTAAGTGGCATTTGAAAAAGGCATAAATGCCCTTTGAGTATCATCTAATTTTCTTTATCAACCATCCAAACATTGTCAAAAAATTAAGTCTCAAATCCTTGCCTCTTCTATTCAAAAAAGTTGGGGTCACTAGAATGCCCATTCAAATGTGACCCCAACTTTCTTGAATGGAAAAGGTAAAGATTTTGGACTTAATTTTTTGCCAACGTTTAGATGGTTGATAAAGAAAATTAAATAACACTTGAAGGGCATTTGTGTCTTTTTCAAATGCCACTTAATGGTTGGTTAACAGCTACTCAATGGCAGGTACTGAATTGTCACATTTTAAAAGTTAGAGTATTGAATTGTTGCATTTTAAAGTTTGGGGACTAAAGTGGCACTAGGCCCAAAGTACAGGATACTAATCGGGAATTTTCCCTTGATTTTATTGATGATATAAATAAAATACATATTTAAAACCAACACAAAAAATGGAGTTATTTTCCCATTTGGTGGAGATTCAACAATTCAACCTTTTTTGGTAAACACAAAAGTATAAAAAATACAAAAAGTATATAGAAAATGTTGGAAACCTATTATTTACTATCATCATTATCATAAAAACTATTAGATGCAAAGCACATGCCAATTTTTACTAGTCACCTAATTTTTTTTTTTAAGAACAGGAAGGCAAAATGATGGTTATTTCCTTGTTTTGATGGTCCTTTAAAGATTGAGTTTGTAAACCAAGTTGGAAACTGCCTAGTTTGGACTTGGATCCAAGATTTTGAAAACCTGAATTTTTTTGGTAGTCTATGGTTTTTCAGCTCCATCCAGAATAGCACCCTTTGATTGTTAATGCTATAAATTGGACGATATTATTTCTGTTATTTATTTTTATTGGAAAAGAGTAGGGATAGCAAAGGGGCAGGTTTGGAGAGGATTTTGTAAATTCTAGACCCTACTCGTCTCTCTAAACCTCCCAACCCATAGTGGGTTGATTTTGAAAATCCAAATCTACCCCACACATGAAAATGCAAAACCTCCTAACCCTACCCTCCCCGCATTCAAGGGTAAGGTCAGGTTGGGTTTATAGCCCACATCTAATTTTCTATTTTTTTTTGTTATATATAAGCAATAAATAAGTAAAATAACACAAACAACAAAAAATTCAGTTATTTGATTAAGGCATTTAAAAAACATGTAAACCATTAATTATCCTTCACATAAAATTCGAAATATTATTAAAATCAACACCTAATACATAAAATTTATATGCTTTCCAACAATATGCGGGTCAAGGAGGGTCGGGTTTAGCCTAATACCATACCCTACTTGTATCCATACAGGTTGTAAAATTCCAAAACCCGTTCCTAATCCAAAATATGTCCTTTAAGCCAAAAAACCTGCCCTATCAGGGCGAGTACCCACCAGGTAGGGTAGAAATTGCCATTCCTAGGAAAGAGTATGGAGCTATCGTGATGTAAAGCAGTTGGCCCAGAAATTTGATAGCTATATTCGAGCCACTTTGTGAAAGAATTTAGTCATCAAGATGTATTTTATGCAAGGTTCAAAGTATCGATACGATACGCCCCGTATCGGGTGTATTGTATTGTATCTTTTGGTCTCGATACACCTATTTATAGGTGTTTCAGGACCCCCATTTATTTGAATAAAAAACATCTCCCAAAATCAAATTTTGAAAAAAAAACTAAAAAAATAATTAAGTGAAATCTTTTAGTACCGATACGCCCCTACCGATACATAGGGGCGTATCGATACTTTGAACCTTGATTTTATGTCCACCTTTTGGTTAACCTTTTGCATTGTTCGCGTCTTGATAAATGACTTACCTAGGTAAATGCAATTATCTAGGCAAATGTTTTTTTTTAACACTTATCTAGATAGGAGCACTTATCATTGTTCTTTTATTCCCCAGGTAAAAGTGCACAATGATTGATTTATCCAAAAAATTGACATTGTCAAAGGGATAATATTGTCTCATCATGTATTAGCGATTTTCGGCACGTATGGTAAGTAATTTACCCAAGTCTAAAGAGAGCATTACTTCCCCGAATAAATGAGTGGATGGGGAAACATTCTTTTCCATAGAAACCATTAATACTGGAAAACGAAAACAAATGAAGGTTTATTTCTTTTCTATGGGACCTACCAACTTACCCGTCACTATTTCCTGAAAAACGAATGAGGCCTTTATATTTTTTGTTCGAAGGTGGCTTTCACAATTTGGTTTTCTATTTATTGGTTAGAAATCAAAACCGAAAATACAAATTGAACAATTTTTTCTTATAAAGAAAGAAAGAAAAATGTGTGGCTAGTAATTGGTAAATTGATCTAAAAGTAACATACATGGAGCACTTAGGATTTGATGTTTGTCATGTGTAAAACTCCACATATCCAATCATGGGAGAGCACACTAGTGTTTCATACACATGGGACCCTAAGACCCGTACTAATACATGTGGGAACAATGGTGTGTTCACTCATAATTGGTTATGTAGCATCTTACACATAATGTGGCAAGTACCAATTCCGAGCTCAACAAATACTCAAACATAGAACATTTTACATATGGTGTGGCAAGTATCAGATCCAAGCTCAATACATTTTATATACATGTGTGTGTGTGTGTGTGGATGCAATTTAAAATTTTTTTTGGACTAAAATCACCCTTTACTTCTTTGTTTGAGAAAGGATATAAAATTCATTTTATTATAACTTTAATGTCAGCTTTAATGGCTACTAAAATACCTATATTTGTGTATTTAATTCATCTCTAATTGTAAGGGTTGCAAATGTAATTTCAATTATTAGTTTCCACCTCATTTAATCCCCTTTAATTAAGTTTTATACTTAAGGTATTAAGTCTCATTTTCTCTTATTAAATCCCATATTTTTAAGTTGTTTTTCACTAATAAATGCTACTAATTAGATCAGTGTCAATATTTTTAACAATATAAATCCATATATTTTAAAACTGACTCAAAAACAAAACCATTGTTTATCCAAGTGGTGGCTAAGCACTTCAACAATCCGAATCAAATTGGTTAACCTATGAAGCCATAGTTAGGTAATAAAATTTTTAAAATATAAATAAATATAAAAATTAAAAGAAAATGTAGAAAAAATTACACATTTATGATATTTTCATTAATCAAATTAAAAAAATAAGTGTAATAAACAAGAATTATTTTATTGATAATGAAAATGAAATGCATAATTTAGAACTAACCAAAAATGAAATATAAAAACTAATAATAAATAGGTCAACTTTTGGGTTAAATGTGTTAACATTTAATGTCCAAATGAATAATAAAAATTAAAAACATATAAAAATACAAATATGAAAAAAATACATAAATATTGCAAAAAAAGCATCCAGGTACATGTATAATATCATATATTTATCATATTAAATAAAAAGTAAGTGTGATATATTAGAATTATTTTTACACACAAAAATATAAAAAAAATTGTAAAAAAAATTAACACATTTATAATTCTATATTTACACTACTATTAAAAATTTAAATAAGATTGCGAAACTTTCTTTTGACTAAAATACTCATTTTTGAATTTACTCCCTATTTAATTGTAAGGTTTAAATTGTAAATTGAACTACTACTTTCACCTCATTCAATTCCCTCTATTTAAATCTTACATTTTTTTCTGATAAATGTACAAAAGAAAAAAAAAAACACCAAAAAGTGAAAACACTATAAAAAGAAGAGTCTAGCTAAGAAGGTAAGCCTGTCAATGATACTTGAAACTTCACAACTCGATCCAATTATCACATATTTGGATGGGGTGCTTATGTAATTAAATTTGGATTTTGCAATCTACATCTAATTAATAATAAAAATATAAAAAAAATATACATAAATTTTAAAGAAAATTTTGGACATATTATTATTATTATCACTATCATCATCTAGAATTGCCACGTACAAAACACGTACATGCTTATTAGTATGTATATATTGATATGCTTGACATCCTATTTCCTCTAAACTTTTAGATTTCAGCACTTTGCCCCTGTCATCCTGATGTGGCTGACGTTGAAAGTGAGACTACTAAATAGCCCATTTGAGATAGGTTTGATATGCTTGATATTGAAAAAAAAAAACTATATATATATATATTAGGAGGGGTTCTAACATTTAAACATATAAAAACCGCACTTAATGTTTTTAGTGA